GAGCAGGGAGCCCGATGCGGGACTCGATCCAGGGACTCCAGGATCATGACCTGAGCCGAAGGCAGTCGCCCAACCAACTGAGCCACCCAGGCGCCCCGATCTATGTGTAATTTTTACCTAGCAGGTACCTCAGAGTCTGGAATTACCCTGTAAGAGCGCATTTCTTGTTTTTTGCTAGGCCACTTAAAGCTAGGCCACTTAAAACTTGGCCTCTTGCAAAGTGACATCCCTGATGTGTCCTTGTTCTCCGTCAGATCCACGGATGCGCTGGTGTCCACCATCTGGGTGTTAAGGCCATGTAGAATGTTTTTAAAAACCAGATGCAGGTTAACTTTAAAACTGCCTTGTCAGCAGTATGGGTAACTTAATAATCATGTCAAGAACTGGATTATGCCTTCCTTTTGTTGTTGTTCATACGCTATATTTGTTAATTCCTTTAGAACGGCCACATCTGGTCTGCCTTTCCATGCCCTGATGGGAGACTTTTCTCAACGAGAAACTGGCCGTGTTGAGGCAGGAACGGTCAGCTGTGCACGTGGTACTGGGTCTAGTGTGCGGAGAGTGAGCGCAGGCGGAGAAGCGCTGCCCTGCATGGGGCAGGTGGGTCTCGTGAGAACAGAGGTAGCATGGGATCAACTGAAAGCATCATCTCCGTGCGCTGGATATAAAATGTTAGAGTCGGGTTCTCGTGCGGAGCACCCCCACCCTCTTTTAGGGAACGTGTAATGGCCGGTGGTCTCAGAACAGAAGCCTGGAGAGCGGCAGGTGAATTCCACCTACAACTCCATGGGAAAGAGGTTCTTTATGCCCAGGGCGCCCTCTAGTGGCCGCCGGGAAACAAGGGCGCGCCAGCGTGAAGCCCTTGGTTCTTGTTCTAATACACAGAACTGGCATGTTTCTGTTGGCATCCTGAAAATTCTGTGTTTTCTGGTGGGTGGCAGGATCTACAGCAGATCTGCCTAGAGCTGCCCTGAAGCTGGAGCGAGTCCTTTCCAGCAAGCAGCTCTCCCTGCGGGCCAGCCCAGGGCATTTCTGAGCAAAGTCAGAGACTGAGTGCGGCCGTCCCCTCGCACGCTGTGTGGGTTCAGGGCTTTGTATTTCAGACTCAGAACGCCTTTCCTCTGTGGACTCACTGTGCTAGGACGCAGGGACTTCTCAGTCCAGGCCAGAAGGCTATATGTGATCCATTTGGTGTCGTCTTACACAGCCGTGGTTTGGGTAGTAGAGAGTGGAGTGTCTGGTCCCGGTGTTGGGGCTGCGCAGCCCCCGGCATCAGAGCGTCCTGGCCCCGTGACCTGGACTGCCACCTCCCTGGGCTCGGCCGGGGTTCACTGGAGGAGCTCCTGTAAGGCACTTGAAGCGCCCATGGGCACGTAAATGTAACATAAGTGGTTGCTTCTGTTATATTGGTTGTATCTCGACACACAGCTTTACTGAGGGCCTGGTTGGGGTGCAGAAGCATGCCTCTCTGTTCCCTCCTTGGTGATAAGCGTGGCTGTCTGTGTCCCACCGCGGCTGCAAGAAGGCAGAGCCGAGCCTCTCCCAGGTTGGCTCACATGTTCGTAGAGGACGCCTGTGGAAGGCGAAGCCCTGATGTGGTCCCCGAGTGGAAGAACTTACCCTTTTTATTCCTGCTGGTCTTCTGAGCATTTTTCTGGAAAGGCCACAGGCGAGGGAGCACCTGAGCCAGGGAGCCCGGGTGGAGGACAGATGCTGGCAGTCTCCTCACGTTCATTTGTGGGACTTTGTCCATCGTCAGCACAGCCCCATCCCAAATGAACAGGGCATGACTGTTACCAAGCAGGGACATTCCTCAGCTGAGGGGTCCTCTTGGTCCTTAATCAGACCTCTCATTTCCAGAGTGCCCTAGAAGCCCCTGTGGCAGGAGGGTAGAGTGAGTGTGGGCTTCCGGAAGGTTCCACTGCTAGGTACTTGTTCGCTGCTTGCGGACTTGCTCTGTGAAGCCTGTGTGTTGTGCTTTTGCATGGGATTCGTGGGGTGTTGGGGGTAAAAGGTGGGTCAGGTTACAGATGAGGGACTCTGAGCTTTCCCCTACCCCAGGTGTTTGGGGTCGGTGGCCTCATCCAAGGGTGGGAGGAGTGTCTCTGCGAGAATGCGTGTTCTCTCCGGGTGTAGTCAGGAGCTGTGTGAGGGTCCGTAAGTGGACAGGACACTTCTGAATGAGGTAGTTACATAATGTTCGTTAAGCTGGTTCTGTTTTAAAGGCTTGCAGATGACATCGATTTGGGGGATGGGCACAAGCTGTGAGCAGGTGCAGAGTTACAGGTGGAATGAGAGACCAGGCTGGTGTAGCCCCGACTGACGCGTGGTGCAGGTATGACGTGGCCAGAGCGGAGACGCGTCGCTGCACCTGGGAAGTCAGGATGGGACAGCACGGGGTGGGCCTCCCGCTGAGGAAGGGGGCCTGTGGGACTTTTGGGGACCCCAGGTCAGGTTAAGCTGGGTTGACACTACGGCATGTGTTTACACCAGAGCATTGAAAAATTACAGATTTCGACCTTTTTTCCTACCGTTTTCTTAAAAGATGTTTGCACCTTTAAAAAATACTTCTTTTCCTTAAGTGTTGTGAAATCCAAGTCAAATTTTTAGTCTGGAAGACAAGGAGACAGGACAAGATGTTCTTTGAAGAAACACCTCTAAGGGGCCTTCCCAGGGAATGTTCTAGAACATCTATTGAGGTGGCGCAAGCCATTGTTGGAGAAAGAGGCCTGAATCGGAGTTAGTCTTGATTTCTCTATGGGAAACTGCCAGGTCAGGCCTGTTCCATGAGCTAAAAATAAAACAGGAAGCAAGAGAAAGAGGGGGTAAAAATGAATAAATTATTCCCTCAAGATGCCACTTTTTTATACTTACAAAATTAAATGTCGTGGGCACTTCCTGAGCCCCAGAATAAGCACAGTTTGAAAGGTTGTTGCTATCTCTGGGGTTTCTGTTATTCTGGTGCTCTTCTTTGACTAGTGGGGAAAACCCTGTCGGTGGGTTTTTGTTTCAAGAGCAGTTGGCGTTTTCCGTGGCACAGGAGCCTCAAGCCCGCGGAGAAAACTTCCCTGGAGAAAAAAGTCCCCGAAAAGTGCCTGTTGTCTCACACCTCGCTCCTAACATCTTGGCCTTTCTCTGTTGGCATGTGCGGGACACGGGAACGCATGGTGGGGTGGGGTAGAGGCATCTTGGACACTGAGCCAAAGAAGGCTGGTTTTTCTGTGTTCAGGGGACTGGTGACAGGTGCCCCACATCTGTTCTGTTGCTCCAACGTCCTCATCTGTATACAGACCCTGCGGGAAGTGGGTGCGCCCAGGACTGGTTCCATTAAGACCTAAGGTGGTTCGCACCCCAGCACGTAGGGCCCTCCACCGCCCCCCTCTCTTCCACTCCTGCCTCCGTCTACCGTAAACACCAGGTGCTTGGCTGCCCCCCTGCCCCAGGTGCTCTCCCCCCAGGTAGTGGCTGGTTGGCCTTTCCCTCCTTCCTGCGGGTGGGGCTGCCCTGAGAATCCACACTGAGCACACGGACCGTCGAACATCCTGCCCTGCCTGACGTGGTCTCGTGGCCACACAACGTTCATCGCTGTTCCACGTCTCTATCTTGTTCTCCGCCTCCCTCCCCAGCCACCCTCATAGCCCCTCCATGAGGGAGCCAAGTTTTGTCTGTTTTGTCCACTGGGGCAACCCTGTGCCCGGAACAGGACCAGACACCTGAGGGCAGCTCTGTGGACACGGACTGAACAGGTGTATGGCTGCACCTGGGGAGTAATGCTGCTAGAACGCAGTGAGCAGAGTGCTTTGTGCAGCAGACGTCACCTGCAAACAGTGAGTGGGCATCCTTTACCTCCGTTTCAGAAGCAGCATCCTGTGAAACACATTTTTACAAATGGAGACTGTTCTAAATGTTTGAGATTATTCCTTGGAGGGTAAACTAGGTTTTAAAAACTCCAGGTTCTTAAACACATGACATGCCCAGGAGCAGGGCGCAGGTTTTGAGCTACTTGGAGGCTTGAAGTGGCGGGACGTCAACAGGGCTGCTTATGGTCACCGTGTCGCTGTCTGTTCCAGATGCCATAAGTTCCAGTAACCCACGGGTCATCGACGACGCCAGGGCGCGGAAACTCTCCAGCGACCTGAAGCGGTGTACCTACTATGAGACGTGCGCCACCTACGGGCTGAACGTGGAGCGGGTCTTTCAGGATGGTAAGCGCTCCCTGCCGCGCATCCACGTCCCCTTCCGCGGCACAGGGCCCGCCCGGCATGAATCCGAGTGTCCCCCTCATGCAGAGGTGGCGCTCAGCTGCGTGCGTGTTCAGAAGACTCAGCAGTCCGCTGGGAATCCTGTGTGGTGCGCTGTGATCTGACCTGTGCACAGGGTGTGACATTGCCCACGCTTCGCTTCTGCACGTGATGGGTCACACTTACACATCTCTTCTCCACCATAGCTGCTCATTCTTAGTTCAGGCCCGTCTCTAAAAACAGCCTAAATATTTGCTCTTAGGCTTTGGAGAGAATAAACCAAAAGAGGAAAGAGAGTCAAGTTTGGGCCAAAAAAAAAAAAAACCCAATCCCACATTAAGACTTATGGCTGAGAGCCAACACCACGATTTAAGAATTGTTTCTTTGTTGCTGAATTCATTAGTGATCACCCGCCCCTGGAACAGCCGGAACAGCCATGCACCAGACAGGAAACCCTCCTGGAGAAGTGCAGGGTTCCACGGAGCAGAGACGGTCACGTCTGTGATCGTGATGCCAAGAGTCGGGCTGGGAAGTGGGAGGGGGATGGGCGAAGGCGTGGGGGAGGTGGTGGGAGGGAGGGGTGGTCTTGGGTCCGGAGCGGTCAGGAAAGTCTGGGAGAAAGCGACTCCCCTAGCCTGAAGGGCAGTGCTCCCCGCAGAGGGTCCCGATGTCCGCGGGAGTTGTGGGGAGTAACTCCCAGGCTGCCCCCCGTCTGGCTGACCTCCGCGGCGGCAGAGCAGACCACCCGAGCCGCCCGTCATCCTGGCCTTGCTGGGCCCCAACCCTGACGAAGACGTGTTCCTCCCAGTGCAAGTAGTAATTACACACCTGCGTTCGGGACCTCCCCACACCAGACAGTGTATGCTCTTCTAAATGTCCAGATGAATTTTCAGATGGAATGGGAAGAATTCCACACTTCGACTATTTTTATGACATTTCATAGATTGGGTCCCTTTCCAAACTTCGCATTTTCTTCCCTTTTCCGTACGAGCTGGTTCCATTCTCAGCTTGCGGCCTCCTTCCCCGCACAGTGGCCTGCCCTTCCTGCTTCTCAGCCCGGGTGTCCTGCAGAGGCCTTTGTGCTCTGGGTCCTCACCGCCTCCCCGGTGCCTGTTCTGACGCAGAGGCATCCTGCTGAGGGACAGCTCGGGGGCCCTTCCTCCCGCCCCTGCCCACCCCCCCGGCCATCCCCATCCCTGCTGGAGCCCGTGGTGGCCTGTGTACGCCCGTGCTTACCGTACCTCGAATGTTTGCCTGTGAAGAGCCACGCACGGAGGCACGTGGGGCTCCTGGAGGGCGCCCAGCGGGGCAGGCAGCCCAGACCCTGTGGGGCTGTTACAGATGAAGGTCCCCAGGCTTGGGCGCACGGGCCACGTCTGGCCAACCACCTGTTTCTGTGTTTTTTCGGGCGCACGGGCGGGCTGCTCTTGTTACCACCACAGAGTTCAGTGGTTGACGTGGAAACGTGATGGCCCCGCCAGGCCTGAAACAGTCCCTCCCTGGCCCTTTGCAGCGGCTTTGCCGGCCCCTGGTGGAGATTTTCGGAATTTCATCCTGTGGATGAGCTTATCCTCCACGATTGCTTTACGTGTGCATTTATCGAAAATGTGAACTTCCCATAAATGAGCTCATACATAATCGTAAGAGTTGGTTGACACTAGGGGAAGCCCAGATACTGTGCTTCCCTGCCCTGCATCCAGAGCGCACGGCAGTCAGCCGCTGTCCCACACTGGGAGCACTTTGTTGTCTGCAGGCGGAGTGCCAGCAAGGGGAGGACCGGAAGGGCTTTTCCAAACAGCGTTACTTTATGCTCTTAGAGGGTTTCCATTGCTGTGATTTAACAAAACACATGACGCTCGTACCGTGAGTTTTCACAGGTTTAGGAGATTTCCAATACATTTTGTTACTTCTTATTTTAGAAATAATGCATTGCCATTAAATATTTGAATTGTACAAAGTCAGAAAAGGAAATAATACCCACGATACTACAGTTTCTGTGACTATTGTGATTTTGTCCTTAAAATATTTCTATTTATATGAAGATAAGATTTAAAAATAAAATGAGGGTTTACTCTGCATATTTGGTAGGGGGATTATAGGGTATGTCTTTTTGTTAAGTCGTGAACTCTGTAATTGTTAGTGTTAAAAGTAGTTGCTGACCAAGTGGGGACTGTGCTCAGTATTTAGAAATTGTGAACAGTCATGATCCATTTTAATCCTTAAGGGAAAAAAAAAAACCCTCACAAGGTTTAGCGTTAAAGAAATCAAGGCTCGGAAAAATTAAGCTTGACCAGAGGCATCTGGATGGGATGCCTGTCCTGGGACGAGGAGCCCAGAGCTTTAACCATTCTGTCATTAAAGCCACAGTGATGTGGGTCCTGCCCGGTCCCCTGGGGGAGGCTGGATGGAGGGCGCACTCGGCAGGCTCACCACCCACTCACAGACTCACGTCATTCAGATTTCTCTTTCAACTTTCTGGCTTCCTTTACACCTTAGGACTTGCCTTTCTTTATGTGCTTTTCATATCTTTGCATTGTAGAAAGAGAAAGAACGGGTAGTTTCTATGTAACGTTTAACTCACCCCTGAAAGAAGGAAACAGGCCTGGTTCTCACACCAGCCAGACCTCCCTAGCACCTGTCTCCGCCCCCCAGGCTTTCTGGTCGACTGGCTCCCCGCGTTGCTTTTTTAAGATACCAGGGACTGTAGTCTTTGCTTCTTTAACTTGGAGTTCTTAGTATCCTGAAACTGAAGACAGATTGCAGAATTAATGGAGAAGTAGAATGTCTGTCTACTTTTCTCTCCAGGGTGTAGTTCTCACATGGCTCTTGGAAAGTAATCCAAGATGGAGGGTCTCCGTCAGCATCAGGGGTGTCCCGAGGCAGGGAGGCAGTGGATGCCCTCATCTGAGAAGCAGCGTTGCTCACGCCAAGCCTCTGGTATGGGGAGGGGCCCCCGCCTCGGCGAGGTGGAGGGCCAGTGCCCAGAGACGGAAGCTTGCACTTTCCCCGAGGGTGGAGGACAGGTGTGAAGGACCAGGCTGCCTTCTGTCACCTGCTCGCAGTGGTCCGGGATCATCGTTGATCCTGCTCCTGATGAGTTTGTGTGGCTTGTGGAGCAGAATGTCTGGCCTCCACGAAGGGGGTTCCAGTAAATAAGATTCACCTTCTAAGAAATCACATACTCCCTGGTTCTACTGCATCTGGGCTGCCGGGCCTGACATGGGCATGGTTACCCGTCTGTCTGTCTGGATTCCCAGAAAAGCCCTGCAGGGATCTCAGGGCCCCACAGGCTGGACCAGGGGATTGAGGCAGCCCGGGCTGCGCATGGCCCATCACCCCGTGTCTCTCCATCTGTCCAATTCTGTGCAGCTCTGGTCGCCGCCGGCCATGTCTGCGAGATTAACTTCGGGCTTTTGTAGTTTTAACGTTATAATGGTAATGTCTGTGTTTGGCATGAAATTTTTCAAAAGTCCTTGGTCATTTGTTCTCTCGGCCTGGATTCATGAAGATACAGGATTACAGAAAAATAAAGTTCACTCTCTGCAGACACTTTCTCTGGTGCTATGATTTCTATTCAAGAGACGTTTCTCTCACTCTGTAAAGGAACCAACTGCGTGGAAGAAGTCCTTGCATTGAGCACATCTGTCCTGCCATTTTAGTTGAGTCTCTGTAGGGAAAGGAGGGTAGTGTTGGTGATGGGATTTTTTTGACCTAGATATTCAGGGACAACCTAAAAGGATTATAACTTAGTGACAGAATTAAATCCCTCTCCTAGAAGACGAAGCCGTGCTGAAAGGTAGTGAACAGCCATGTGTGTAAGTGGTTGAAGGACCCCTTGGACTGTTCTTGTGAGCCATCTTGGGACTCTGCCTCCTCATGTTCATGAGGGAGCATTTGGGATTTTAGTTCCCTGAAGCTGGATTTTGGAAATGATGAATTCTCCCTTTCCAATCATTTTTAGATTTCTCACTCTACATTGGATGTCCTTGCTTATAGCTTGTTTTGTTTGGATGACAGTGATTGCATAACGACGGATGTATGATGAGCATAGTGATTTGCGTCAGAGTGTAGTTCTCTTTTTCAAACTAAGCATGATGTAGAATCAGTTTTTTGTTTGTTTTGACATTTTGTGAAGTAGAGCCAGTAGATCCCCTAAGTTTTTTGGGGGTATATTTTATAATTTTTAGATTACAGTGTCTGACTGGTGTGTGATATTTTAAAGATCTCTGTATATAAAGAAAAGTGGTTTCCCTTTCATATGGAATGAGTAAAACCTGATGGTGGTACAAGATATTTGATTTTCCCTTATCCAGGCTACTTTACGCCCTTTTCCTTTCTCCTTCCCTCCCTCTCCTAAAATGAGCTGATAGAGATTTGTCTGTGTTGTAGAACAGTGTTGTTTTGTATATGGGTCGTTCCTGTTACGCATCCTGATGCCACCTATTTTGTATACAGAATTTAATATTCTTGCACGTATCTTCTAAACTGTAGTCACTTGTTAAATCCCAACTGAAAGCATCCTATTAGACATTAATGCATACTTCCCTGTGAAGCTTTAACCTCCTACCTTCTTAAGCTTGTCTTCGTAGGACAGTAGGAAAACCCATATGCGCAACATTTTGCTCTGACAATAACTGTTTAGACCTGGTCGAGATCCGTATAAGCCAAGATCTAGATAATTACAGATTACCGTCTGTCTGCTTGACCCTCCCCAAGACTGCTGGGTTTTGTCACTATGTTGTTGCCCAGAGTAACTGGATAGTCTAGTGATCTCACATGGAAGACCGCTCACTCTAGGATAGATGTTCTACGTTACTTATGTGAGAAAGAGACCATTCAGTTGGAGGTGCATGTGCCCTTCGGACGGCAGCCTCAGAAGGGTTCTGGGCGCCGGTGGCTGGCGTTCGGGTTTCCGGTGATCACACACTTCATGCAGTGTCCTGCGGACGGCATGGGCCCGTCGG